GATTTTGTATTTTTTTCTTAATGTTATTGATATTGATATTATTGTTATTGAGATTTATAATTGTTATAATGTTATTATCAGTACTAATGGCACCAAAAATATATGTGAATATATAGGAATAAGACAAAGTAAATGTTGAATAGTGATGTATGTATTCTGGTGTAACTGAGCACTTATGGGACCATCTATGTGTAAATACAATTAATGAAATAAACACACTAGTGGTGACATATAAGCATATACCATTTCCAGTGGCATTGGATTAACTACTTTCTGCCTGGGATGGCATGTGTGTATATGCCATACCCACTGTGTATTTAATTTAGTAATTGTTTTTACATATAGATGGCTCCACAAGTACTAAGTCACCAATGAGCCAGGTACGAGAACTACCTGTCTGACCTATTTCCTTGATTTTCAATGATATTTTCTAATATTTAATACTGCTGTTAGTAATGTCAATAACAATATACTGATTATAATGTTTATAACAAAAATAACTGCCGATATTTATAGCATTAGTATAAAAAAGCGTTCTCCTGCTATTTCAAGGAAAGATGAGGTCACAAGATCTACTGATTGACTCCTTTGTGGCTAAGCACTGGCAGAACCATCTATGGTACAGAAGCATTTAACAAAATACTAAAGTGAACGCAACATTTTGCTGTCGGCATTAGGTTAACATTGGATCCCATAGTTATATATGGTAATGAAAGGATGAGACATTATTGTCATTGCATGAGTATTATATCTTTCTGACAGGGATTTTTGTCCTGCTACAGAACTAGAATGTGATGATGTCAGAGCAGGCAGTTGCCGATGATACAGTTGTATCTGATTGCGAAATTGACTCATATAGCATCAGACCTGCTTAACTTTTTGAATAGATTGTATGGATGGTGAGAAAGAAATTGAAAAAACTAAGATGCAGTAGAATAAGTTTAGAGTGAATTCCTCTCAGTTTGAAAATTCAAATGATTCAGTATGGGATAAGGAAGCTAATGTTGCCTACTGTTTAGCCAGACTGACAGAAAGAGGGAGAGTCAATGAATGAATGAATGAATGAATGAATGAATGAATAAGGGAATGAAAAAAAGAAAGGGGTAAAAAGTGAGAGCATAAAGAATGAATGAGAGAAAAACAGACTAATAGAGGAAGGTAATGAATAAGAGGAAGAAAGAGATAGAATTAGAATAAATCTATGAATGAATTAATGAAAGAAAAGACAGATAGAAAGCATGAATGGATGATAAAGAGAGAAATTAGAGAATATTCTAGAAGGCTGTTTTAGAAATTAGCTAGAGAAGGGCCTAATAGTGATGTATAGATTCTCAGATTTTAAAAATTTTGGATGTGGATGTGGATTTTAAAATTTGTTGAATTGTAGACAAGTAGAAGAATGTAGACAGTGAAATTATTGAGATTGCCGATCCAGATTTAGATCTGATACGTTTGATATCAATTCTGTTGTGGATGTGGATGAGCATATTGATGTTTGCATTATAATACTACAAAGAGTCGACAACTTTCTGTAATTTATATTGATGTTTTATGTTGTAGTATTTGTATGCTACACATGCTATAAACAGGCTTATATATTTGTTTCATTTATTAGGAAGAAAAATATATAAGCTAGTTAATAATCATTAAAATTCTAGTAATGCAAATGTCTGCTAATAGATGATAACTTTTAGGATTAGAAGTGATGTGAATGATTTATGTATGGGCACTACTGGCATAATGAGATTTTTTAGCTGCCTATTCCAGTTTTTGTTCTTGGGTGCATGTCTTGAGTGTACACGGTACAAACAAGGGAGATCTGTTTCCTTGATATAAAGTGTACTTGCAATAGATTGGGTGTGTGAGTGCATGCATATGTGTGTGGGTGCATGAGTTAATGGGTGTATGAGTGAGTGTGTGGGTGAGTGAAAGGAAGGAACTACAAGGAAGAGAAGAAACAGAAAAAGTCTGCATGTTGGAAATATCTGCATTTCTTCTATGTATATATGGATAGAATTGTGGAAGTTTTATCATTAATAAATGTGGATGCAAATATGATTGTGGATTTCAATTATCATGAAATCTGTGAATATGTATGTGTCTGTGGATATAAAATTTTGTGTGGATACTCCACAGAAGTATATTCAGATGTGCTTGTGGATATCTGATACATCACTAACTTAGGGAGATGGAGTGCTTCAGTGATGTTATCAGGGCATCTCACAATTTTGCCAAAACTTAATGTGTTGTTTGAAGATGACACTTTAGGAATGGATATTGTTAACACTGCTCCTCATATTGATTTCACTTGTTGATTAAGTTCATATGATACCAAAGAGTAAGTTTAAAAACAAACAAATATTTCTCAACTCTGGGCTTAACCTTTAAGCATATACACTTTTGATGATTTATCAGTTTTCTTTTTTAGTTTTCAGTATATTTCAGAGTCAACACTAATATCAAGATGGATATGCTTACAGATTTTACAAATTATGTTTGA